CCCATCATCAGAGGTGCCTTCCTGTGTGGGACTAAGTCAACACAGCTGCGCTGCTTGTTTGCTCTTTGGCGTCCTTCACTCTTATCACGGGTTGGCCGACCTGACCAGACCCTACTAATCTACACACATCCATCAACATGACAACACACATAACACCCCTCAACAGTGCAGAAACCTCAAACAATCACTAACAACATTTGTAAAAGTGTTAGTACATGAAATCTGAAAATATGAACGACGTGTGCAGCATTTCTTGAGATATGCATCAAGGTCTACTCACATTTTTGATTTTCCTACCGTTCTGTAACTTGTGATACAATACTGAACATTCCACTTTTTTGGTGAATAAATTATCTCAATGATAAAACCGTTCAACTATTTATTATGCATTCACAATACAACACATAACCCCTTTTATCAACACATTCAACAGAAAAGAGTTTCATGTCCTCAATCCGAGAGAAGACAAACTTGAAGGGCTCCAAGATGTTCTCATGCTCCTCACTGTCCGGGTCTATAGTACTATAATAAAGCCTTGCCATGGTATCTCCTACCATATATATTGTCTTTTCGACGTTTTTTCTTGTTCTATACTACGGTGACGTGTAGGTGGTGCATTTGTAAACAAATAGCAACAGAATTGTCCTTTGGCATCCCAAATGCCCAGATGAAAACAGCGATCGCTCATATACATAATACCTGGTCACAATTTGTGGAACAAACGTTGCTATTTTTCTTTTTTACATAATATATACTAAATGTTAAATATAAGCTTTATAACTTTATGAAGAAAAACGTTTTCAAGTCCGTAACAGTAGCTCATGGCAATGGTCACGTAACAGGGGCTCCTGAAGGAGGTCACGTGACAGGGGCTGAACAGGGAGGTCTGCGAGGGGGGGAGTCTGCAGTCAGATGCCTCTCAGTTTTTTCCCCACTCTGGCGGGTTTCTGCGCATGCGCAAATCAGATTTGGGTACACTATCAGTGTAGTTTCACAGGAGCAGTGGACTGCTTAAAACAAACTTTACACAAAATTCTTCCTCTTAAAACACACATATCACAACGCAGAACCATCAACATCTCGCCTCAAATTGCATTAAAAGTGACATTTGTGTCTTAATTTGTTCGTATTTTAACTTTTAAAGCAAATCACGGACTACATGTCCGCCATCTTGGTTTGCTTTGGCTGCCGTGAGACGCACAGCGCAGGTTTGCATTACATCATTAACAGCTGAGGCAGATCATCTCGACGGGCAGACCAACTCGACAGAACACCGGTACAGCTGGGGCTGCTTTGTAATGACAGCCGCGGCGCTTTGAGAACAGCTCAGCGAAAGCACAGTCGTAAATGGTACCGAGCTCGGATCATAGACATGCGAACAGAATCATCCCCAGGTGTTTGCAAGTGCGGGTACCCCCGTATCTCCCCCGTATCTCCCCTGTGTCTCTCCCCTGTCTCCTCCCAAAGTGCGACCGGCACTCCCGAAATTAAAGCTCAGATACCTCGATTTTACAATGCGTTAAGATGCATGCTGGTTGTGCGCAAAACACACCTCAACAGGCCATTTTAGTTTTTATCTTGCATACTTGAGAGCCCTGTAAGTCATTATTTGACTTTTTGGGCTGAAAGTGGAATAAAAAAAGAAAAGAAATCCACACAGTCACTTAGTGCCACTTTTCTGCAAAAACTCTCGTTAACTCATTGTATTGAGAAATATTTGGGCAAGTAACTTTTGACATTGGGCAAGTAAAATATAAATGGTACTCAAAAGTGGCTGACAAAGCCTAAACTCAAGGCCTGAGGTTGATGTATTTTAGTGTCTGTTTTTGATTGTCTCAATACCTTCTTATATGATTTAGAAAAAATGCCACCGCCACCAAAAAAGATATAAGGAGCTATTTTAACACTTGGTAATTAAGTAAGAAAAAGCACGAGTATAATAGAAAATTATGAATTGTGATGATTAAAATTCTGTTAACAGGGAAGCAGTGATGGGCAAGCTACTTGATTTGTGTAGTGAGCTAAGCTACAAGCTACTCTACAATAAATTCAGCTTCACTACACAGAAGCTACCACCCATACAAATGTAGCAAGCTAAGTTACAAAATTCTGTCAAAAGTAGCTTGCTATATAGAAGCTATTTTCAATTAAACAAACTGCAGTTCATGCAATTTTATATTTTCCTGCATTAACATGTTTGCTCATTTCTTATTTTTTGCACAATTCTTGAGTGTTTTATCCATGCCAAATGTGACATGTAAATTTCTCCTGTGTGAGATTAATAAAGGTTATCTTCTTATTTGAGATAAACTGTCAGTCAGATAAAGGTTAAAATTTTGTAGATATTTATTGAACAATAGCCCAAAACACCAAAAACAATGAGCCATCACAAATGACTGTTTTTATAACAATATACATTATAACAAATGTGAATAAGTGCCATTATTGGCTGTATTTAAGCAAGAATTGCCTCTGAAATTGGACAAAAAAAAGTTTAAGAACTGTCTCTTATCTGTTTACTAAAACAATAGTAGCAACCATCATACAACCTTATTATTCGTAAGTTACAGAGATTGAGGAAAGGGAAATAGCTTCAAACAGTGAAAATAAATGTCTTCTAAATATTTGGTGTGAGGTGAGTGTGTGTGGGTTTACAGTAAGTCCCATTCCATTTTGTCGTCTTCATTCACGCTTCTCGGGAATCACGCAGCTGCGTGAAAAATAGTACATCTTATCGCCACAAGGTGGCAGGCTAAGTCCACTTTAGCTCTGCCAGCGACTTAGACGCTCAGGTATAAGACTGCGTGCAAACCTGTCTAGCCCAGAGGTGCTTTGTTGGCCGAATGGTTAGCATTAAAGACTGGGACCTGGAGAACCCAGGTTCGATTCTTGTCTGAGGCACATCTTTTGGTTGCTTGTGGCAAAATTGTTTTTTCATTAAACAATTATTATATAACATCTTGTCTTTAATGTCTGAAAAAATCGAGGTGAAATTCACTAGTGTTATACGTTAAATATTGTGATATGTTTTGATAAACCGAACGTTACGTTACATCCTCCGCTCTGGCCCCGGCAGCAGCTGCTGTGACCCCCGCTCTGACAGCTCAGTGAACGCACTGCAGTCTGGGCTCCGAGCGCGGACCATAGACACGCGAACAGAACCACAGACAGGACCATAGACACCCGAACAGAACCACAGACAGACATTTACATTTACATTTACATATACGCAGACAGAACCCAGACAGGCGGAGACACGCGAGACACGCGGATCATAGACACCTGGACAGAACCAGAGACACACGAAGCATAGACACTCGAGTCGGACAGGTCCATTTTGTTTTATTTGTGTTTAAAGTTACCTAAGTTTCTCCTTGCATTAAAAAATGCTTGGTGGTTGTGGATATTTAGACTGCGTGATTTGATAGAATAATACTGGCAATGTCTAATACATATCTAATTTTCAGTAAATTATAAAGAGAAAGAAAAAGAAGAGGAGGTCAAAATTCAATCCATTGAATATTGAAAGAATCAATACATTCTTGATTTTCGACTAATTCATGAGTGTTGTGTGTTTAATTGGTGCCAAAGTAACATCTTTTTAATCTTCTACAACATAGTGACTAAAACAAGTGTGCCATAACAGAGTAATTCAAAATTTACATGTTATATGTGACTGTGATGATTATGTTTGGAATGTCGATCTTTAAACCTGTTTTTCTCAGAATTCTGTTTCATAAAACCATGTAAATACGCTGACTTCAGATTATGAGAACTTTTGTTACAGACATGCTATGGAGAAAAGGAAACCAGATTTGAAAAGATATTGAAAGCAGCTTTAAGATTTGCGAGGCGAGCCTGGCCTGACTGCGCTCTCCTCCTCTGGGACCTACGGGCCACCTTACGCTGAACTTTCTTAAAAATAAAATGAAAAAGGATACTCTGTTGTGAATGTTTTGAGAGCATTGTCAGTCCTTAAGAGGAGGAATAGCTGTTGTTCTCGGGGAACGAGCTTCGCGCTGTGTGATATGATCATGCAGCTTATTGGACAAAATTGTTCAGCCAATAAACGGAACTATATTTGAAGCAACGTAGGAACGTGATGACGCTCATATATATTTTCTAAAAAAAGATTAGAACGCAACATTTAGTTAATAATGTGTGTATAAAAATAAAAAATATTGAAATTATGACTTTAAACAAAAAAGTCTAATGACTTGAGAGGCGAAGAACAAAATTGGGAAGGCCAAGAAAAAAACTGGTAGGCACCGGCCTACCCAGGCCTATCCCTGGCCGCGGCTGGGCCGTGCATGTGAATGTAAATGTGTTTCTATTGAATGCTATTTCTTTCTTTATAATCTTTATCTTTATAATACGAATTGCATTAACGTATATGTTTAAAATAATTATGTATTGTCTATAGAATTCTATGCGAATTCGAAAATAAAGACATTCTGAAAGCGATCTGCCTCTCGTGATTTTTTAGTGAGGTCTTCTTCTGGTATTTACTGTTTGGCTGAGCAAAGTTTTAATAGTATTGGTTAAAATAAATCCCATTTTCAAACACGGCGTGATGTAAATAAGAGAGAGAGCGAGAGAGAGACGCTGACGCATTTTGGCTCAGTGCGCTGGTGTGCAATCAATGGAATACATCACAATACTCATCAAACAAGATCCATTCAGTTTTATCATTGGAGGAAATGTTTATTAAATTAGCAATTGGCACCTTGACAAAACACTGGATATAGAAATCCTAACAATAGTAGGCTAATATAGGCTAACGTGGACATCCCTTGGCCCGTGGGGATATCACATGCCAGTTGCCTCTCCCTTCAAGGCTATGACCTGGTCGATGACTTTGTCCAAGCTGTCTATATATTTATTGCAGACCTGGGTTGTGAGTTTGTTTAGCCAAAAAAACTCTATTGCGGAGATCAGTGCGTCCTTGCTCATCGGCTTGGCCTCACAGCGAATGTATCTTTTCATGGACGCCCACTAACTCAATGGGGTTCAGATCCGGCGACCTTAAACAAAAACACATGGACATGTCAGCACTGTTAGCCTATTTTCCGATACAGCATGTATTCATCCAGAATATATATATTAGGGCTGTCAAACGATTAATTTTTTTTAGTTGATTAATCGCATAGTAATGATGAGTTAACTCACGATTAATCGCATTTTTAACATTCTATTTCAAATCCACTCCAATTGAAGTTAAATGAGATTTTCAAATGTAATGACACATTGTTATTCAGACCAAATGTACTTAAATCTGTTTGACTTGCTCACAACCTTCTTCATTTGGGTACAACCAACAAGAGCTGTTAATGAAAGGGAAAATGTAAGTACCCCAGCTTTAATTTTGCGAGTTTGGTTGCATTTCAGCGTGTCTCCTCCTCTCCTCCATCATCAGAGAACATCAGAGAATGGCCCCTGTGCGTGTATATATATATATGCGTGTATTATATGACCACGTTACCGCTGTAACCATCACACACGCACGTGTCCGTGGCATTCTGAGTGATATTATTATAAATGGGCGGGTCATTCGGACATGCGATTGACTGCCAGCCTATTTCGGAACAGGTACCCACAGAATATTGTGTACAATGACTATCTGAAATCCAAAACCAGATTCTGAAAGAATGGACTGTATACTTTCATCAGCAAAAATAATTTTGTTTCTAGCTTGTTTCGTTCCCCTGTAATCCCCAGTCGAGTAGAGGTAAGTTTTATTGAAATCACCAGAAAGCTGAGAAAAAAGAGGCACTTGTGCATCTAGCTGTTTTCAAACCATTCATAGAGCAATGCTGCCATCTGCTGGCTCGATAAAATATTGCCTCAAGCCTTACATATTTGATACAACAGACATCTGGGAACGTGAAAATAGCGGGAACGCAATTGACGTGTTAACACGTCAATGGCAGTTAATGCGTTAATTATTTTTTAACGCGTTAATGAAAACGGTAATTAACGTGAATTAACGCGATAATTTTGACAGCCCTAATATATATATATATATATATATATATATATATATATATATATATATATATATATATAAAATAACTACGGTAACTCACTCTGCCGGTGTCGGTACCCAGTTGATCCCCTCCCTTTGAATGCAGGCTTTGACACTTTTTGCTGTGTGTTTTGGATCGTTGTCTTAAAAAATCAAACAGGACAAATTAGGAGGACAACTTAATCAAACATTAGTAGCCTAATCATCACGACGTTGCTTTTGTCATAATCATGCTGAAGATTTGGAATACAGAATGTTAGCCTACCTTGGAAGAATCTATGTGTAGACATACGGAAATGCTCCCTTAAGTATGGACCGGCAGCTTTTTTGATGATTTCTTCCGCGTAGAAGTGTTGATCCATTATACCTGCGGGTTTAAATAATATGTTAGCATATTGTAACAATTTATTTAGCATAGCCTACTTTGCATGCATTGCTTTCAAAACTTCATCACTCACCGTCAAAAATGACCAACGGACCAGGTCCCCATCGAGAAATTCCACCCCAAACATGCATTTTGACCGGGTGCTTCACTCTTGGTTTTGCAATGCCCCTGAAGTTGGTCTTTCTCCAGCACTTCAAGACAAAACGTTCCAGTGCCACAGTTGACTCGTCAGTGAAGAGAACATCATCAAACTTTTCACCTGCAGCCTTCCATTCTTGAGCTTGGATTACACGCAAATCTTTGTTTTTTCCTCTGGTCATTGGAACGAATCTGTAAGCAGAATTTATCAAAATGTTACTATAAGAATGACATGTTGAGTGCCCGGTTATCACGATAAGTAATTATTTCGCACCGAGTGTAAGCCGATCGTTATGTTGTGCCTGCTTTGGAGAAGCTCTTTTACTTTTCTTGCTGGTAGTTCATCGTCTGCTCTCAGGATGGAGTCTATTATTTCCATCACCTGACTGAAAGAGACACATTGTTTCAGTACATAGTTTGGTAAAGCCTGTTGTTATTTTGTTCACATGTGAAACTTACAAACTTGAGTATATATTTAAATAGTAAAAAGTACATTTACCTTGTCAATTTACGTGGCTTGCGCCCCTTCTTCTTCTCCACAACAGCACATCGGCAATGACGCTGGATAGTTCGCAAGGAAGCTCTTATTCCAGTTGTGGCCAAGTGTTTGGCGATAGCGCTAGTCGTCCAGCCTTTCTTACGCAGACTCCTGATGAGCTCACTGACTTGTGCGTTGATCACAGCCATCGCTGACATGTACTGTAAATATACCATCGGTTGAACTATTTATCTTGATTTTTACACACACCTCCCTCCCCCTACCGCCCACTCCCTGTGTTTTTTCCCCGGCCCCGTCCCAATCACGAGATAAGATGTTTTGCATATGTGAGGAAGAACTGGATTTTCGACATTCCTGTGGTCAATCTAGTTCAATACAGTTCAGCTTTAACATGTTGTTCATAAACAACAATGAACTTCTCTTTTTACTTCGTGATAGGACTCGTGCGCGTGTTGTCATGAGAGAAGGGAGGATGAGAAAACCTCTCAGCAATTATTGGCTGATGTAAAACATATTTCCTTTACAATCCACATGTCTACAGTTGAGAAGATGGCTCATAAATTGTGTTTTTGAAACAAATATGGGTCTTAGTCGCGCTCAACCACAGCTTCTATCACCGTGAGGCCAGCGCATGTGAGTGCTGTCTGTGGCCAGAATATCAGAGTTACAGGTTAGTTATATAGTACAAAACTAATGTATGTCATACTCGTGAAGAATATAAAACAGAAGTTCTCTTCTTTTTTCAGGCACAGTTGCAACAACTAAGTGTAGAGGAGAAAGATGAACTCCTACAAATGGTAGTTACACGTCTGCCAGGGGTGTTACTGGACATTATGGACTACAGACAGGCCATACCAGGACCTCCATCAAACCAGGATCAGCCAGCTTGGTGCACCTGCCACAATTGCCAACTTATGCCTACAGACCTGGAAAATAAGTGCTGTAGACAGGATCCAGAAGGGTGTCTGGGCCGACGTGCTCATATGAACCTTTTCTGAAACTTGCGTAGAAAAATGTGTACATTTGGGGTGTATATTCCATTCACGCAAAATCCAACGTCGGATTTATGAACGTGTAAGATCAGCCCAGATCTGAGCGTACGCAGCTGCGGGTGTTGATAAATCGGCTGAATACGAACGTATTTAAGAAAGTCACGCCTAGAATTATGCAGCAATGTTCGCGACAGGTCAGCACGGAATTTCAAAAAGACTGTTTGGAAGCCTCAAAAGGCACGTTTGTTTGTTATGTTTATGTAAAAATAAATATACGCTATATATTCAGCTGCGTTTTGCACAAATTTGCAAAAATAGTTTTGATACATTAGAAAAATCTCTCTTGAATTGTAGGAGTGAATAAATATAGATTGATTGAATGAATGAATGAATTCATATATATTATGCAGCGGTGGCTCTCATGAATGAAGCGTCTGCAGTGTCTTGGACGCAGCCTGGCTCGGGGTAGAAGTGCGCATTAAAGCACTGTACACTTCAGAGAGCGTTTGCGGTCCAGATTTCACAAAGAAACTCTGAAGCCAGATGTGAATGAGGAATACAAATAGCCGTGCGTAATTACGCAGCGCAGAGCCTGTCACAGCAATAGGTCACACATCCCTGTCGCGTAAAGTGTATTTATATAGAGCCTTTCACAGTTCAGGATCACAAACCGCTTCACATTTTAAAAACATATACAGATCAAAATAATACACACACAAGTCAGATTTAATAGAGATTTAATAGAGGGCAAGTTTCATACATGAGGCCCTGTGTCTCTCACACACACAGGCCTAGAGTTTACCTCATCAGTGCGAGGTGAGCCTGGCCTGACTGCGCTCTTCTCCTCTGGGACCTACGGGCCCGGGCCTCTGGCTCCTCTACCTCACAAAGTTCACGCTGAACTTTCTTAAAACTAAAATGACTAAAAAGGCTGCTCTGTTGTGAATGTTTTGAGAGCGTTGTCAATCTTGAAGACGAGGAATAGCTGCTTGTTCTCGGGAACGAGCTGTGTGATATGATCATGCAGATTATTGGACAAAAATGTTCAGCCAATAAACAGGACTATATTTGAAGCAACGTGAACGCTCAGGGGGTTACATTTTCTTAAAACATTAGAACGCAACATTTAGGCAATAATGTGTGTATAAAAATAACAATATTTAAATTATGACTTTTAATAAAAAAGGCTAATGACTTTAGAGGTGAAGAACAAATTTGAGTAGGCCAAGAAAAAAACTGGTAGGCACCGGCCTACCCCCGGGCCTATCCCTGGCGCCGCGGCTGCTTCAAATATACATCTATCTTTTATTTCAGTCATTGTGAAAAAAAGGAATATTTGACATAATATAAATAAAAGTGGTGTGTTCATCTTTGATTGCTGTCCGCCTCGGTTTATGGACCAGATATCAAGTCCTAGAAAAAGAAAGAACAAATACATTAATACATTTCAGACTTTTCTTCTTTTGAATCTCAACACTACCTGTCCTCTCCGTAATTGTGTCTGCACCAATTCGGCTGTAGGAGGAGGGATGATGCCGGACAGAGGACCCAGGGCTCTAGGGTCATTTGGCTGAATGCTTCTCCTTTTTGGGAGTCCCCCAGCAGAGCTGAGGCGCTGGTTTAATATTCTTTGTTGCAGCTCTGGGATGTAGCTGTAGTCTTTATTCTCCTTCACAGTATGCACACGGTAACGCTGAGATTTTTTGCTGTAGAGACGTTTATGTCTGCAAAACATTAGTGTAGACATCATTAGAAATAATATATTTATTATCAAGATACAGAAAGCAAAAAGGTCGTTTGTCCACATTGACAACACTTATGATGTCCATGGAGTCTAGCTCTATTGTTGTGTACGTACAGCACATAGCAGAGTGACCTATTTGAAAAAATATATAGATTGTGGGGGAAATAAAAATGAAAAACATACACTTACAATAACAAACCGATATTTATGAAATGCCAAAGAGCTTTGCACATTACCTGGAGAGTCCATCCTCCCGTCACCTAAAACATAAACACAAAAGGCATGTAAGCATACATATACACGGGCTTAGAAATTATTATGCTTACTTACCAAGGGCAACAACATTGTCTTTGGACTGTAATCTGTTGATAATAGCAGTCCTTTTCTCCTCCCAAAACTGCTTTATTGTTTTTAGACAGTAGGTTCCCTGGACTGCATAAAATGTTGAGGAGGCCACCATGCGGATATTCATGAATTTGAATAAGAGGGAAATCTTGGAGAAGTTATTCCCTGACAGCAGAATGTTGGTTGACAACATAAAATCTCCTCCTTGCATCCCATATTTCAGTTGTGGCTGGCTGTTCCAACTCCATAATTTATGGCCGTGCGGGCAAAACTATTTGGGGAAAAAAGTGTTAACAAATATGTAACTTCACACACATACCATTTTTGTTATTACTCTGGTAAACACATGTGCAAACCATGCAAACTCACCCACTCCAATATCAAAGCTGTTCCTCGTGCATGTGACTTTACAGAAAATGAGTGACTGCAGGAGAATCTGATAGGTAAGTTTGCCAAATGCAACTTCTGCTTACAGGTTACCACTCATCCACCGTCAAAAAGTATTTTGTCCTACAGGGAAGACTTTCACATTGCAGGAGTTGAACTTCTTACAGCAGATACAAGGTTACAATCGTTAGAGGAAAGGTAAACATGCATGAATTTTAACATTTGACGAATACTGTTTTTTGTAATGAATGTAAATTGTCTTATTGGGAAGCAGCAAATCAATGGAGCTGAAGGAAGAGGCTTTGAATGAGAAACAAGCCAACAATCTGGAAAACAGTGTGTACGTTATTCTCAATGTAATTCAATGTGTATGTGTTGTTTCATAATTTACATATTGGGCTGTTCTTTTTTAAGAATGGGGCCCCATCAACACCTCTGCTGATGGGCCATGGGGTGTGGACGTGAGTGGTCCCTTTGATAGAGAGTGCCTCTCGTAACTACAACAATAGAGCCATTGTTACTGCTAGTGATGGCGATATCAAGTATTGCAGTGAGACAATTACAATAACACGCGTATGTTTCGAAGACTCTACACGCTCAACAACTAACTAGTTACTATTGCGATTGCAATGTACATACATTTAAAAGGGAAAATGTTCGTAAGGTTCTAGAAAAAGCCCCGTTTGTAAACAAACCGCAGTTGTATATGCTTGCTGTGTGGTGCGTTAAAAACGAGGTGTTGAGGCCGCTTGGCAAGAGGGAGCCCGCCAATCCAACCATATCTCGTCTGCTCTGATTTACTTGTATCTGTTTAAGCAGTAATAGCAATCACAACATGACAACTTGTTTTCCTACACTATAGATCTTGGTCATGTGCTATTCATGGTTAAGAGTTGTCCATTGCATTTGAGAGATTTAACTGCTCCAAATGATTTTTACACATCCCTTTTACAGTTTAAACAAATTACATTATTTACACATATAGTAACTATAACTAATTACTTTTTCAAAGTAACGTGCCCAACACTGCATGCGGGAATAATCAATACTTTCACCTGCCGTGTCTCGCATTGCGCACACCGGAGAGAGCGAGAGAGTGTGTGTGTCTGTGGGGGGAGGGGGGAATATGGCCCATACTGTACCTGTGTATATATCACGTGGACTATAGACCACTGGCTGGGGGGGCACAAGCATCTTGGGGGACGGGCACGGCCCCCTATGGCCCGCCCATAGCGACGGTATGAGTATATATAGACATGTCCTTAACAGAGGTCCTACTCCAGTATTTCGGGAGCATGGAAGCCAAAGGTTTTTACCACGAACGCGCTTCCAGAGAAGCCAAGACTCTCTTCCCACGGAACGAAAACTCACCTCAAGCCGAGGTGAAACAACGGGTACGTTGTTAAATGTAATGTTGAATGTGAATGTTATTAGGCCCTAGGAGTATGTAATATTAAACAATGCTACAGCCTCTAATGTCTTTGGCAATGTTTCTTACAGACTCCAGGCAAACGTTCGCCAGCATCATCTTTGCGGCAAGGCAAAACAGCAAAGCGTCTCGTCACAAAAAAAGCGGTAAGTGTAATCCTGTATTATGTGTAGTGTATAATGGCCAATAAGCCAGGCATCCTCGCTTAACTAAGCCACGACTCATGACTTTTCTCAATTTCAATACAGGCAGCGGTTTCCACTGGTGCGTGACAATAAGGACCGCTGGATG